TAATACAGAGGGAGACCATAAGTGTGGGCATCAATGATGGAAAACTCCTGACTTAGGGAGGAGTTTATTTATTATAAGGCAAAATGAATGTGAAAAGGAGCCAATTGAAGAAAAATAATTGAGGACAGGGTAGAAAACAGTTTATAGAATAAGATGTTAGAGGTACAAGAGCTTTACCTCAAAGTTATTAATGTTGTGTATGTATCAGTATCCTTATGACCAAATAGTATTCCATTGTATGGATATACCACATTTGTTTACCCATTAGTTATTTGGCATTTGACTTGTGCAGCGAGTCTTTCTTGTTGGAACTACTTTGGACTACCAGCCCCCAAATAATGACACAGAGACTTATTATTAATTATGAAAGCTTGGCCTTTAGCTTAGGCTTGTTCCCAACTAGCTCTCCTAAATTAACCTGTTTCTATTAATCTACATTTTACCATGTGGCTTTTTTACCTCTTCTCCATTCTGTACACCTGACTCTCTCTTGTGTTTTGCTGTGTCTCCTGCTATACCAGATCCCAACCCTGAGTTCCTCTCTCTGCCCAGAAGTCCTGCTTATTCTCACCTGCCTATCTATTGGCCATTCAGGTCTGTATTCAACCAGTCAGGTGCCTTAGGCAGGTGAGGCAAAACATAGACACATCTTCACGTGTGCAAGCAAATATCCCACAACAGTCTTAGTTAGGGTTTTATTGCTGTGGAGAGACACCATGACCATGACAGCTGCTATAAAGGAAAACATTTAATTGGTTTAGTCCATTATCATCATGGTGGAAAGCATGGCAGCGTGCAGGCAGACCTGACACTAGAGAGGCAGCTGAGAGTTCCGTATGTGGCTTGGCACGCAAAAGGGAGAGAGTGACGGTGGGCCTGGCTTGAACATTTGAAATCCCAAAGTCCACCCTAGTGACACACTTCCTCCGACAAGGCCTCACTACTCCAAGAACACGCCTCCTTCTAGTGCCACTTTCTGAGCCAGTGGAGGTCATTTTCTTTCAAATACCACAGGTTGCTTCTACTTTTTAACATTATTAACACTAACATTACTATCCAAGCTTCTGTGTGGATTTCCTTTGTAACTGCTTTGGGATACACACAGTAGTCCTGTTTGGTTTGAGGAAGTATCAGACTTCTTTCTCATGTTGCTGCAGCATTTTCTGTTTCCACCTGTAGTGTGTGAAGGGCTAGTCCACATTCTTGTAAGTGCTTTCTGTTGCCTCTTTTGGTTATAGTCACTCAAGATGAGAAGTAGTACCATGTGGTTTTGCATTTCTGTAATGAGTGAAGATGTCATCATGTCAGGCCCTCCTGGCCATTTGCATGTGCTCACTTAAGACATATAGAACCTCTTAAGAGGTTTTAGCTACCATTTGGGTTCGAGGATTGAACCCAGGCTGTCAGGCTTGGCAGCAAGCGTCTTTACCTACTGAACCATGTTGCTGGCCTACATTCTTATTTTAAATGGAGTTTTATAGTTGGACTTTAGTTCCTTCCACATTTTGTACCTGATCTTAACCAAGGTGTAAAAATAATTTCATCCAACGGGCATTGGTGGTGGATGCCTTTAATCCCAGCACTCGGGAGGCAGAGGCAGGTGTGAGTTCCAGTCCAGCCTGGTCTACAGAGCTAGTTCCAGGACAGGCTTCAAAGCAATACAGAGAAACCATGTCTCGAAAAACCAATAATAATGTTAATAATAATAATAATTCCATCCACATTCTGGTTAGTTTACTAACCAGCCATGACAGTGTCACGGCTGTCAGAGAATTATGTACACAAGCTGTGCTTGGAGAATATCAGTATCCTCAGCCCCTCCTGCCATTTCCATTCACCTAGTCCCATTAGCAGCATGTCTCATTGCCTTCTGGTTTATTTTTACCATGTTCATAGCATAGATAGATATAAACATTATTCAGCCTTTTCAATTTTATGGGAGTGTATATTATTAGTTCTTTGATCTAGCCTCCATTTAAATGGATGGAAATTAATTTTGACAGTTCATAATGATCTTCTGAATTTTTAAGGACACATACTAGTACATTGTGCAGATATATCACATTTTATTCAACCACTCTTCAATGTATGGGCATTTCATTTGTTTCTAGTTACAGTTATAACTGGCACATAAATATAGCAAGTAACACTTTATGCTTATTTTCAAGTATTTAAAGTATTTCCTGGGGGTTTATTAAGTTTATGGTTAAAAATAAATAAAAAGCCAGAAACCAGGGACAGGAGTCAGAGGCAGGAAGATCTCTGAGTTGAAGGCCAGGGTGGTCTATATAACAAGTTCCAGGACAGCCAGGGCTGTAGAAGGAAACCCGGTCTCAAAATAAAATAGAGTGCACTGCTCTGCACTGTAGTACATTACAATACAATAAAGCCAGGTATAACAGTAGCATACTTATAATGGATTGCTCAGGGGTTGTAATCAAGAAAACTAGGGATTGAAGGCCATCCTGGGCAGTGTAGCAATATCCTGTCATAAGTACACTATTCCAGAAATGCATTCCAGAAGGGACAGACTTGAGAATCAGTGGCACTCTAGCAACAGGAGCACAGCCTGAAAGGAGCCCAGAGCTGCCAGGAGAAATGTCCCCTTCCAGTCCTGAGGCAGGGTAAGAGCAGGGAACCCAGAAATCAGGAAGTGCCAAAAACAAATTAGGCAAATGTCACAAACACAGAAGCAGACTCAAAGAGGCTCTTTTTGGCTAAATCTGGGGAATTGTGAACATTAAAAGAGCAGGAGGACTGAAGAGATGGCTCAGTGGAAAAGAACACTTGCTGTACACATATGATGACCTAAGTTCAAATCTCTATCTTGCAAAAAGCCAAAATGGTATTGGTGCCTACAACCCCTGTGCCAGGTAGGGGAGAGACAGCAGCATCTTTAGGCCTTGCTAACAGCCAGCCTAGCCTAATTGGTGAGCCCCAGGTTTAATGCCAGACCATGTCTCAATAGAGTAAGCAGAGAGTGATAAAACAGAACACTAGACATCCCCTCTGACCTCTACAGGCACAAACATCTGCACACATCTACGTGTTCATTTAAAAAGTAAGTAGGGATAACAATGAACAGTCTTTAAAGAGTTCATGGCTCTATGGTTCTTTTTGTTGTTGTTGTTGTTGCTATGATATAACACAATGACTGTGCTGGCTAGTTTTATGTCACTTTGACACAAGATAAGAGTTATGTCAAAAGAAGCAACCTTAATTAAGAAAATGCCTCCATAAGATCTGGATGTAGGGCATTTTCTAAATTAATGATTGATGGGGGAGGACCCATCTCATTGTATGTGGGATCATCCTTGGTCCTAGATTATATAAGAAAGCAAGCTGAGAAAGCCATGGGGGGGGGGCAAGCCAGTAAGCAGCACCCCTCCATGGTTCTGCATCAGCTCATGCCTCCAGGTTCTTCCCTATTTGAGTTCCTTAATGAAGAACAGTGAGTGGAAGAGTCAGCCAAATAAATATTTTACTGCTCAACTTGCTCTTTGGTCATAGTATTTTCATCACAGCAATAGAAACCCTAACTAAGACAATGACCAAGGTAACTTATGGAAGGAAGGGTTTCCATTTGGGCTGGGAAACATGGCAGCTAAGAGTTCACATTTCCAACTGCAAGCATCAAGCAACCTCTTCAAACCTGCCCTCAGTGACATACTTCTTCCAGCAAGGCCACATCTGGTAAGCTTACCAAAACAGTGCCACCAATTGAATGCCCAAGATTATTGGGAGATAGCTCATTCAAACCACCCCAGTGTGTGTGTGTGTGTGTGTGTGTGTGTGTGTGTGTGTGTGCGCGCGCGCGCATGTGCACATGTGTGCGTGTGTGTGCATGTGTGTTTGAGAGAGCTGCTAAATGTAAAATGTAAAAGAAATTATAGAATTATTTTTAAAGTTCCACTTAAAATAATTATATAAAATAAGTCAGACACAAATGCCAGGATTGCTGAAATTATTAGGTGAGAAGTCGTTGGGCAACAGTTGAAGACATAGTGAAGACATCCTATATGCACAGTCATTTACCGAAGCTTTTTTGTAATGCCCAATCTCAGAGTATTTACCCATAAATTACTTCACTAAAGGGGAAAATGGGTTTGACAAAAGTGAGGAGCTGCTTGCAATATTCCTTAAGTGAAGCCCATGGATCTGGTCATTAAGAGGCTGGCAGTGAGTGGGTCAGTGGAGTGTGGGCAAGACAAACTGAGGTGGTGAGTGAGGTGAAAGGATCTCATGGCTAAAGAGTGTGAAGGGATGGGTCTGGAGGGTGCTGACCACACTGAAGTTTGGGCAGAGGCAGAAACATAATATGATATTATGTATGTATGTATGTATGTATGTATGTATGTATGTATGTGTTACATTTTGCTTTTCCTTCAAATTTGTCTGTATCCTTTATGGCTGCCAAAGTGTATTGTACCATCCTGATGATGGAGCCTAATTTTACTTCACATGTTTTCTGTCAGACTGTATATAACTTTAGACTATCTTTGCAACTTTGGGGAGATGTTCCATTAGACATTGAGCCAGTTACAGATTACAATGTATCTCTAGCTTACTTCGATCTAAATTAGCCTAATTTTAAGACTCAGATTTGCTTTGTATACAATGCAAGGTATACTCTTTTTAAAATATGACCATATCTTTAAAATGGAAACCTAAAAGGTGCCTGGAGGGTAATGGAGAGTACTTTAATTTGTTAAAATGTTGCTAGAGTGTATTGGAGAAGCCACAATAATGCTGGCTTATGTATTTCTGTCACTAAGATAATGCTTTTAAATTCTGTGAGTGTGCACAGGGTGTGGGCGGAGGGAGTACTGTTTATTTGTTTGTGTTTTCTGTTGAAAATGTTGCAATATATAGTCTGTCACTGTCTTCACAGTCTGGGGGGTGGGCCAGGGTACAGAGGGTGTGACGCTGGTATTTGTGTGAACTCCAGCTGGTGATGCTGAGCTTGGTTCATCCGCTTTCTCCTCCCTTTTCCTCCCCAGTCCTTCCCACCAGCGCCACAGCAACATCCTCAGAGTCTGAGCGAACTGCGCCCAGAGCGGGCACAGAGCCTCTCACTGCCAGCAACCTGCGGCCCTGGAGAAGACCACAAGAGCAGTGACAGCGCCTAGCCACCACCATCCCACAGACCGCCATGGCCAAGAGCCGCAGGGACAGAAACAGTTGGGGTGAGTCGCAATCGGTAACTCGTGCATGCTTCACGGGGTCTGGGTGCTTGCCTCTGTAGCTGGAGACTGCTCTTTGATCAGAGGAATCGCGCTGTCACCAGAGCTGAGCCTGGTGCAGGCCGGGCCTGAGGCTCCTTCCCCATCCCCGCGCCGCCTCCTCCTAGCATTTGGACAGCACCCACCCGGCTTCTCTAGGGACTCTGGGCTCCGCCTTAGAGATGCTTTAGAACGCTGGCACAGAAGGTGGTCTAGGGCTGTGGTTGTGGGCGAAGATGGGCAAAGGGTCGATCTGGAACAGGCAGAGCCCAACCCGCTTTCTGGGGCAAGGGCTTATTCGCATGCTGGCGGGCTCTGGGCGGGCGGGCGGTGGAACAATGAGGCAGAGCGCTCAAGCTAGGACGCTGCTCTGCGGGCTCAGCAGCCTGGGAAATGTTACCCTCCTGAGAGCCCCTAGCACTGCACTCTTATTTCAATTTGGGGTTAGTGGAAGAATAGGGAAGAAGGCGAGCAGAGTTGGGGTTTTTAGCCTGCTACCCAACCTGGACATTATTCAAACTAGCCTTAAGCCTGGCTTTGTTCTTCGATTTTTACCTTGTGGGGAATTCTGGGTTCATGATTCAGCACCGGGCCTAAGGAAGGGCTGGGCCCAGTGGGTTCACGCGCGAGTGGGTGGGCGGTGCTCGCGCAGGCAGAGCAGAGAGGAACGCAGTGATGCGGGAGAAACCGCGCCCCGCCCGCTCTGCTGTTCCAGACTAGATCTGTAGGAGTGTAGGCAGCCTGAGCAGCCTTGTCAGGTTGAACCCCAATTTCTTGCAGGCATAGTGGTTAGCTCATCAGCATCATAACTAAAGTCCTATAAACACATTTAATGATAGGAGCCAGTGTGGATCTCAAACCACTGACAGGTAGTATATAGAGAGACATTGTCTTCTACTGTTTGCATTGTTATTGTTTTGAAAGTTCACGCCCACTAGGAGGTCAATATTCCTTGGTTCTCTGTCTCTAGTTCTATTTCTGTCTTACCAAGAGGATGGATGTACCTTTTAGTTGGTTGTTTCTGTTTCCTTTTGTCAAAAGATCATAATGCCTCCTTGCTTTCTGTTAATGTGGCGGCCACAAGACCAGCTACTCCTGTGAGCAAGGCTTACATTTTCGAGAATACCCTAGATTCCTGGTTGCTGTGCAGAGGTGGAGCATGCAGTCAGTAGTTGACTAAATTTAGGAGAAGCGATTTCATTTTCCCAGATTGTCAAGCCTGGATTTCAGTATTGCAGGCACAGTCTTTGCTTCCTCTGAAATCTTGGGTAAAGGTCTCTAGTGACCTTTTCCTGAGTTCTTGCTCAGGAATAGGAATCTGAACACTCTTAACCATTCATGGTGAAGGTGCATATGTTCAACCCAGATTTTAGTCTTCATCTCTGGATTGGATTGTTGACTCCACCCTTCTAGAAGCCAGGGGTGTGAAGATTTATTCTAAGAATGCTTCTTTATTATACTTTGGCTCATTATTCTTCAGTATTTGATTGCAGGTTTCTTGATTGCAGGCACACAATATGCCATTCTCGAGTGGGACTTGCCTAAGAACAAATTGGAAGTTTGAATGTTCCCACAGTATCCAGCCAGGGGTTTTGAGGCAACGGGTCTGAAGTAGGGCCTAGAAAATTGTCCTTTGACTAGTTCTGTAGGTGACAGAGGAGCAGGTCCTCTATGATGTTACTTTAAGAAATAATTTATGTTTGATAGAATCATCTCCCAAACAGTTTACTCCAAAGTCATCAGAACAATATAAATGTAAGTGATAAATTAGAAGGGAAAATGCCAGTCATTATATGTCCACTGGAAACTCCCATTGAAAATAAACACTGGAATTATGGAGTGCAACCTTATGTCTTGTGGGAGTGCTCCACTACTTAGGAATGCTATTAATACAAGGTAGAGGTAGACATTTTAACAAAGGTGTTGGCCATTCCTACCTTAATTCCATTTTTTTTAATACAGTGCCTAGTATAGTACTGTGTGCCTAGCACACAGTAGGTACCTAATGGTAGCAGTAGAGGCTTACATCATTGAAATAACATCATGTGAGGTAAACACTATAATCACTTTTTATGTTAAATGGCAGGGCTAGTAAGTGATAGATCGGTGTTTCCATCTGGGAGCTCGATTGGAGATTCTTTTATCATAGACCACCTCTTTGAGTAAATGGGTGATTCTGTCTGCAGTTTTGCATGACTGCATTTCCAATGCACATTCATCTGAATTACCCCATTTGGCCTTTAGCCTTTTAAATCATTGTATTTACTATCTAATATGCAGATTTAAAAAAAGGAAGTCACTGATAGGATAAATGACCTAGTTAAAGTCATATATTCTATAAGTTAGATAACTGTAGTTAGAAACTAGGGTTTTCTTCTAATTTGCCTTTTGTAGCATGATACTGTGGAGTATTTTTACAAATGAGTGAGTTGGGGTGTGAGGTAGGGAAAACATGTTCTCATAAGAAGCCACAGGTTTCTCTTATGAGAAAAGTAATTTGCTGATACTTAGGTAACAGTGCGGTGGCCCTTTCAACTAGCTATGGTCAGACATGTTATAAAGGAAAAAGGGGGTTCAGAAGATAACCCAGACTTGGGAAATGCAGTGACTCCCAAGTAAAGAACAAGAAAGGCATTTGCAAATCTGTACATAAAAGCTCAGGTCCATGTAGAACTCTGAGATGAGGATTATTTTCACTGAGGGAACACTGCCTTTTGGGTCTTGCAGAAACCAGGGAGGCTAGTGAGTAGAGACACTTGAGCTGTCCAGCAGAGTTGGAGGTGGAGCTGAGGGCCATACTTGGAGAGGCCATGGGGAAGCCCATGTGTGAGCAGAACTGAGAGTCTACCCCCTGAACCTCCATCTGCGTGCAGGTAATCTGAGTATATGCAAGCACATAAGAGGCAACTTTTCACAGGCAGGTAGGTATTATTATTGTTGTTTTAATGATTAGGAAATCTGAAATTAGAGACCCTAAGGAACTTTCTGTGTTCTAGAGCTAGGGCTTAAGTCATAATTGCTTGTTCCCACAGTCCATTTACTGAGGTCTAGAAGCTAAAACAGATGCCAAATGCTATCACAACAAGCTTATCTAGGACTAAGCTGGTAGAAGAAATCAGTGCTCTATAAACTCAGTCACCTTGGACTGGAAAAGTAGATAAAGTGCGCTAGTGTGGGAGGTAAAGGGGACAGATGAGTATCAGAAACAGTAGCCCAGAAAGCAGTCTTTCAGTGGAGCCTGGAGCCACAGCTACCACAAACAGAGCAACACTGTATACCTTTCTGTTTGCTTATTCCTGTTTATTTAACTTCCTCAAAAACTTGAGATACAATGTAAGAGTTTAGTCTTCTACAGTTTGACAAAAATGACAGTAAAATAATACCATACAAAAAATGTTTGAAATAAAGTTTTAACTTGGTCTGCTTTGAAACAAAAACCATCTTAGCATCACAGTAAATATAAGAAATGTCTATTTGCAAAAAAGGCATTTGTGAGAATTTTAGGTTAGAAAGTTTTATGTTTCTGGTTTTGTTTTTGAAGAGAAATTAGCAACAAATGGATATGATACAGTTATGATCAGAACTATGGTAAATGGGTTAATATTGAAGAAGGAAGATGTGGAAGTTATAATAAGTTTGCTATGTGCATACTTGAAGCTTGGGAATGAAAGAAACTGAGATTTAAAAAATAGAGTGAATGCAAGTCATCAGGCCTAAAGACCACTAATACAACCAATAAATGAGGGTTGTGTGTGTCGGGGGTACAGGGAGTAAAGTTAGAATTTCAAGGGGACCAAAGAAAATAAACCAAAGTAAACAAGTGTGATGCAATCAGAAAACACTGTTTCTGGGGTCTTAGATCAAAGTCCAGGTCAAGACTAACTCTTGATTTAGAAGAAGCTTTCAGAGGTGTGATGCAAGGTCATGATGTCACTCCCACTCCCGGTTATCTCAGAGGACGCAGCTACTTTCTCCCATGTCTACCCAGGTGTGTCATGTTGGAAACCAGGAAACCCCTGCTATCTTGAAACATGTGAACTGAGTTTGTACACCACAGATAAGACTGAAAAGACATTCTTTAGGTAATTCCCATAACTGACGTTGTGCATGACCAGCAGTCAGAGTGTTTAAATGAGCTTGCCTCTGTGTGTTTTGGAAACACAGATAATGCCAAAGAAGCTAAAGAACAGTCTGGTGAAATGGGGCTTAATTAGACTAGAACAGAGCTGATGTCTCTCTAGCAAAAAGACTGCATGCCCAGCACCAGGCATTTACACTGAAGGAGTACCTGTGTCAGATCACACTGTCAGGATTGTTATGGCAGAATGTGTGACATGGCACATTCATCTTGTTTTTCTCTGTGTCTGCCCGAGACCCCAGAGACTCCGCCCTTCTTCCTCCCAGTGCCTTCTGTCTGTTAGGAGTAAGGTTTTCCCCGCTGCCGGTCTGGTCCTGCTACCACGCCAGCCCCAAATAACACACAAAGATTCTGTATTTGATATAATGCTGTTGGCCAGTTACTTGTTTCTTATCAGCTAGCTCTGTCTTAAGTAGTAACCATTTCTATTAATCTAAGTATTTCTACGTGGTCTCATCTTACCGGGGAGTGGGGCCGGCGTCTGCTCAACCCAGTCTCTCCATGTTGACTCCTCCTCACTACTTCCTCGAGTCCTCCTTGTCTCCTAGTCCCACCTATCTTGCTTTCCTATTGGCCAACAGTGCTTTATTCATTAACCAGTATGAGAAACATATATACAGAATGACATCTCCCATCACTCTGTCTGTCTGCCTTGCCTATACCTCCTGCCTAGCTACTGGCCAGTCAGCTCTTTTATCAAACCAATCAGAAGGCACCTTGACAAAGACACATCTTCACAGTGTACAAAAAGATTATTCTAAGACACACACATACTCACATGCAC